ATATGGTCAGCATCCAATGTCGAAAACTTAGTGCTATTTATTTTGGGGATTTATTTACCGCTACACTATATTATTTTTGATTTGGGGACGATTCAAGAGGCAGGTGAGTAAACACCTGATAGTCGGACAGATCAAGGGAAAGTCGCATCACAACAACATGGTATTGAGCAGTCCGCTTGTGACACTTCCACAGATATTGTTGTTTGTTTTCTCACCCTCCATTCTCTTACAAATTCTGATGCTCATAATGGGGACAGGTCCAACAAGTCATGTTGGAAAACTCTTGGTAAACTTCTCCATTCGTATTATAAGACAATATTTCGTTTAATTATTTTAATACTCACTTATTCGTTTCTTCACTTTACTTATGTTAGTATTTAAAACTCATACATGACTGCTGTGATTATATTTCCGATAATAAAACTAACTGAGAAATAGTCGATAACTAAACTAATGTACATTAAAACAAAATACGTTTGTGAAGGTGCCGCATGTATTCGAAGTTTACTGACGCGTTTACTCGTAACACCTTTATAATCGAAGTATACCAACCCAGCATCAGAATGCGGATGCCTTATCACACAGAGCAGCTATACTTCATGGACACTGTCCTTCGTGAGAGAACGAATGAGCTCATATTCAGGTAACAGATTCAGAAACTTCAATAGTGTATAACGCTTGGAAAAACCAGAGTTCTCAGCCACTTCCAGAAGAAAGTCAAGGTATGAGTTGGGGAGGTAGACGTCTACAGTCCATGTGTAAATCATTAATAATAATAATAATAGGTGGAGTACTATATTTTCGTTATGGACCACATTAGTCGAGATAATCAGCATGACTCCACAAGAATAGATTGTAAGACAGACTTTTTGTGATAAAATTAATTACCGACTAAACTATTGAGCAAAGTGATATGTTTCTAATTACAAGTACAAGCTTAATCCCACTGATCAAGTTCTATTATAGTCACTGGTCTGCATGAATCAATGTCGTGATCCATTTTGTTTTTAAATATCAAGTCTTCGGAAGTGACAGAGATGACACACTGAAGCTAACTTTCTTGCAAGTTAATTTGTTCTGTAACTTTAAGGTTGTAAAACTATAGGGACTTTCACTTACGCGTCCTCTTCTCGATTTCTTCTGATCACCCTACAAGTTAATAATAAAAGTTATCGATGTTTAATAGTACGCTTCAACATTTCATGCTTTATTATTATTCATTCGTCGACAAAATATTCTTTAGGAAAGTTCATTTTAGCAACAAATCTGGGTTGAAAAAATACGTCATTTTCATTATAAATCTTAGTGATATTTATCACAGATATATTTCACATATACTTTTCGTCTATTCACCTGTCAGCTGAATAACAACTTACAATCTACCCTTTTAGAATGCTACATTAATCCTTCTGTTTGTCTCTCTCGTATACTTGAAATACTTTGTCATTTAACAATATATACAATTAACGTTAGATGTATAAATGGTGTATCAATCATTAAGAAAGGTAAAATAATGCAAGACAACTTAGTTATGAAGTCAGATTTCAGTTTGGCTATCAGATATATTTCATAAAAATCTGTTTTACTAGTTATCAATATGTGATATGAAATTTCTATCATTTTCGATGCAAAACCAATACGCTAAGAAAGTTGTTTTGTGACATTTTGTACATTTTGGTAAGGTTTTATACTCAAGATGATAGTAGAGAATATAGGAATGAGACTATAATTTTTGGACGACCTTTGAGCGACGCTAGACTAACCTTGGGAGTGTCCATCTAATAACCAGGATCAAATGAGGGTTATAAACCTGTGTGAAGAGTCGGAATTATGGTTTACAGTTGATGATTAAGGTTATAAATTAGATTTTGGGTTTCCATCACGAACTAACATCAGCTATAATGCCAAAACTCTATTTATTTGAATGGATGACTGAATTTCGCGCCAAAATTCGAGACCTGTCACCTTATATGTGATTGGTTCTTCCATAAATTATAGTCTTGCCGAATATTGGAGGTGTTATGCTTTTAAGTTTGATGGATTAATTGATTGTCGTCTATGTTTGTATTATCATTGATTGTAAAATTATCTTGATTTTTCTCTACCCTGTCAAAACCTTTTACCCTGGAGTTTTATGCTGTTTGTTCGAATGGCTAACAAGTTGATTCAACTTCAATGTACTTGTTATGGGAACAAGCTGTTAGTCAGTTTTATAGAAATGGTAAAAATTCATTTTATACAAATATTAACAGGTGCGTTAGTCTCATTACGGATAAAGAAGACCAACAGGTTGAAATGAGTGGAATTTTTTTGTCTAGGCTCAGGGTTAACAATCAAATTATTAGGAATGGAGGAAAGAGAAAACTAAAATGTATACCGAGAGATTGAAAGTCCACCGTGATCATCCCATACCGTAGTGAAACATTGGAACGAAGTAAGAGTATTCTAAACAAACGTAATATAAGAGTATATTTTCGGGCTAGTGAAACCATAAGATCAGCATTAGTGAAATTTAAGGATAGGTTTCCTTAGGAAGAAAAGCCGAATGTTTTCTATGAGATGAAAAGTCACGATTGTAATGCAGCGTATGTGGGAGAAACTTCAAAGCAACTGAATATGAGGTTGAAAGAATATAAAAAAAATGTTTGAAAATTATTCCCGAATCCTCAGTTGATTTAAAGAAACTTGAGAATAGGCCGGGGATAGCGTTACAAGCTTTGGAAACAGGACACAAGATCAGCTTTGAAGAGACCAAAACACTTCACAAGCATTTTAACATACATAAAGAAAGATTGACAGCAGAAGCGCTGTATATATGGGCTAGTATGAACAGCCTGAACAGAAAGGATAGTATTCAACTAGCAACTATTTGGCAAATGTTTGTTACTAAGTAATTGGACTCTTTCTCTATCGAACCTATTTGTTTCATATGCATCGTTATTGTGACTGAAGTTAATGTAGGCTACTTTATCACTACAATTATTTATTGTTCCTAGTATGGGACTCCTCAACAGTGCACATCCACGATCCCGCCCCCCACGACATTCAAACCCAGGACCTATCGACCACGCGCGTAAGCGCTTAACCATTAGATCTCTGACCTGACATCCAACGGTCGTCCAGTGCTTTCAGGTTTTCCATGGTGGTCTAGCTTCAATTGACTCATGATTTCAACCAGTGAAATTTCTAAAATCTCCACAAATCCCCTTCTGATAAGTATGTATTTGATGATTCTCATTATACATGCACTTCAATGATTCAGAAACAATCTTTTCAACCTTCAACTTGCAGTTTTATTTTTCCTTCATAGAAAAACAAATTAACACCAAATATCAACTATTACTAACTCAAACTTACACACACACACACACTGTGAACTTTTTACATGATTGACATATAATTCACTCATGTTATCCTATTTACTAAAGTCAACATCTAAATGTGATTGCATAAGCACAATAAAGATTTGATTTGATTGTTAAACGCTGTGTATTTCTTTGATGATTTTCATTATTACCCTGAGGAAGTCAAGACAAGTTTGATAAACGAAACTTTGGAATTATGTTAAATTTCAATCACTGAGTGTATCCTAAGTATAATATTAAAATATAAAAATTCACTTTGCTTTGAATTGTATGCTGATGATTTTTTTTTTCTAGAAAGATAATAATACCTTCTCAATTAAACCATACATCTCATAGAACATAAGGCATTCAAGCAAACAATCAAATCTGTTGAATGTCAAACCTAAGATCAGTGTAAACAACCTCAATCACAACAAGTTTGTTTTATCAATTTTTAAAATCTTGTATTCACAAAACAGATCCTGGCCAATCTCTTTTAAGAAATGCGCTTCCTAGTACTTCATTCATAAGTTTTTTGCAGATATGGATTGTAACTATAAGTGGGTTTGAATACATGACTTCCATCCTTTTCGAGATTCGTCAAGTAGATCTAAATAGAACTCAGTGTTGATGTTCATGTTGAAACTCGAAGTTCAATATTTCATTTAATAAACTTATGCTTCTAAATTACGTATAAAGATATGTGTAAGCAATTGTATTTACCTACTATAATTATGAGATTAATGTTCAGTATATTTCCTTCGAAATGCCTAAATAGATCAGTCATATATTTAGTAAAATCGAAAGTCAACCTTTCTCAGAAGTTTACAATTATGCAACCCCATTCTCATCACGAATAATTGATGTAAATCATTTGATTATTTCTAGTTGTGATGTTATTTCAAATGTCAGATGTAAAATTCAGAATATATTTGATGTACATATATTACACTTCATTTAAAGTACTTCTGATGTTATTTAATCAAATTAATGGTTAAGAAACCTTGGATCTAATGTTTATATTAATTGGGACTTACCAGAAAGTTGTTGTTAGGATCTTGAAGCAGATGTCGGGCCTAAGAAAGTTCAAACCTGTCTGTCTTTTAGTATGTGCAGTTACCACTTACCTGTTTGAATTGCAAATGAATTCTTGCATAAGTGAGATGTTTATGTTGATTTATCAATTGCTGATAACAAAGTTGGTTCATATAATTTGATCAGTAACAATCGATTATGCAAATATAAGTGATAACTGATTAATAATCATTCGGTATAAGTGTTGTTTTCATTTAATGCCTGTACTAAGTTATTCCATAATAAAAAGCAATGTTCTTACATTATTTTGCCAGTCAATTACTACTCATAGGTTTGTCTTAGCAACTAATGGTTGTGGATCTTGATAAGAACGTTATTGAATCAAACTATTTTTCCCTTCAATCAGACAATGGTTATTTAAAAAAACTGAATTGAACTACTTTATACAAAATTAAGTAGTATTAACTAACAAAGCAATATGTACACCAACCAACTAGCATAGAATTTCGTATATTTGTCAAATAATTACATATTATTTTCGCTTTATTTATTAAATCTTCACCGTTTATTACAGCCAAATTATTCACTGAAGAATGGTACTTTATAAAGAAGACAAATGAACACACACACAAAATAGTGATTGTTACATATGTTTTATTCATTTCCGTTTTGACCAAGTGGTTTTAATGATGTTTTGACGTTCTACATTCTCTCCAGTTGAATGTCTTGGATTAGATTTAACCATAGATATTTTTTTATTGCTAGTTTTAGAACCATCATTATGATAATTATAATTATCATTATCTATTTTTGAGTCTTTTGAACTGTAAGCTAACAAAAGCATACGCATTTCTTCCAAACTAATTTTCCCATCATTATTAAAATCCCAATTTTGTAAAATCATAGATCGTGTATAATCAAGATCTGATTCATCAAAATCCTGTAAGATAATGAACAAAAATTGCCAAGTGATTGTTAGTGTTTCATCTGGATCACATAAATGTAATGCGTAATATGCATTCAACATGACTTCTAGAGGTTCTAGAATGATAAGGTTGAATAATGATAACTGCTTAAGATAAGAAAGCGATAACAGATATATATATAGATATGTATCCGAAAGGGCTTCAAGTAAATAGTGATCGTGTCTATAGTTATATAAGAAATATGTAAACTGATTTAAGATATCCTCTATAGTTAATTATGATACAGACTGTGAAAATGTTTGGTTTGATTGAGTTGTATAGATTACTAAAACAAACCGAAAATGAACTAGCTTATTGTAACCCATATTAAAAAGGTGCATTTTAGCATATATATATATATCTATTGAAACAGGTTTTTTAAAATAATCTTTGGTTATATTCAGTAATATCTTAGCAAATGGATAATATTTACCGGACTGCTTGAATATCTGGGCTACCTGTTCCTGTCATCTAGATATTTCAACAAGTTATCTGTCTATTAAACGCATAACCTATTCAGGCACGTTCATTAAATGTTTACGATCTTTCGGTGTACAAGTTACAAAAGAGCTCATTCAGAGACATCGTGTTTGCTGTTAATATACATTGAAAAGAATAAACATTATTCAAATATGGATTCCTGAGCTGCTCACATCGAACTGGCGACCACTTAATATTTATCGCATGGATCGGTCAAGAAATAAGAAACGGAAACTTGTTGAAATACTTTGTGCTGAGAATTCTATATTGTACCAAAAATATAATATTGATATTAATAGTATTATTGATAACATAAATAATGTAGAAACTAAGCAAGGAATTATGCTACCATACAACGTGAATAGATGTGTTAACACATCTATTCTATTCACTTAATTGAGTTGGGAGGTAGACATAATCCTTGTGTCTGTCAACATCTGGACAAGTTTTATTTGGTGTTCCAAGAGTAGTTCTACTTTAATAGGATCTATACATGCATCAGCTCCGTCGCCATTGCTATGTACGAGATATTACGATACCACGTAGTATCACAATACTTAAGGTACCTTAGTGCCCGCCAACGGAAGCCAAGATAGAAACATAATAACAGGATGAAGGTAAGCTATTTCTCTGAGCCCCAGCCCTGGTAACTGAAGGAATAAGACCACAGTCATCAGGAAAGATAAGTTATTCTACAAGCAGCCTGTAAGAACGAATAACAAGCACTCAACTCGTGCATAAGATGTAGAATCCGAAAGTGTCCCTGAAAAACGTCACAAAATAGAGTATCAAAAGAACAAAAAACCCAATGACTTTTAAGATCTTTTCAGATGGGAAACATAAACTGAAGGCAACAATGTACGCTTTTTGGTATAAAAATGAGAAAGTAAAGCTTTCAAAATTATATTACAAAAATAAGGAGTTTATCAAGTGGTTTCCGGGGATCTAGCATGCTCAACAATCATTCTATGATATAAACTATTGGATCACGATTCAGTAGTCACAGAATGTCAAGTGCTCACTGTGAAACCTAAAAGGCTCTTATTTTGACTCCCATTAAAATCATGGATGCTCACTGTTGAGATGTCCCAAACTAAAAAGAAACGACTAGTTTTGTTTCATATTTACTGACTGTCTGACTAAAAGAAGTCGAGAACATAAACTATAAAATCACTTATCTATTCTTACAAGTTATGTATCCTTATATGGCATAATTTAAATATCTTGAAATGATTTATTACAAATACAGAGTTAAAACAGCTTACTTCTTCAACAAGTTCAAGAAGATCTTTTAAGAAACCATACAATTCAAGATCTTCAATGGTTCCATTTTTATCCTTTTGAAGAAAAGGGGAAAAAGTGTTTTTTTCTTAAAAAAAATAAGCAAATTCTTTAAATTGGGTTCAACCCCTATCGTATCATATTTAACTGAAATTAAGATGTACTTTGATAATATGTAAACTTGGTCTCAGATCTCTTCATAAGCTGTAATCGATGTAGAATTGAATAAAAATCAGTTTGAATGCTTTAAAAATGATTAGGTTGGTGATTTAGCTGTATATAGAACAATGCCTGAAGTAAGTGTAATATAGAATTATAATGTGCTACAAATGATCAATCTAGATAAATATACAACTAATAATATTGTTGAATTGCTCTATGAGTTCGTCTTTTCTTTTCAAGATTCTGGTTGACGATATTATAAGTATCGTTAATGCAACGACAATACAAGTAAGGCCTATCAATTACATTTTTCTTAAACTTCCTAATAATCAATTTGCGTTCAGTCGGCTGTAATTTTCGAGAGGTCAAAGATGTATAATTAATTAATACCAGCTGAATGGTCACGAAGTTAACCATTCGTACTTGAGACCGAAGATACTAGATTTGGTCCCCACATGTAAGCTTGCGAATGCGTATTGTTTAGGAGTCCCACACTAGAATAAAACGGCCATCGATTGCCTCCAAGTTTTAAATGATGATCTAAGATCAATTCATGATTTCCGCAATGAAATACTACAATTTCCATAAATCCATTATACTACTAATGAATGCATCAATAAAAACATAGATTTCATTCAGGATTATGTAATAACAAATTTAATAAACCAACTATATAACAAATACCTATTAGGATCTGAATCGAATTAATTAATAAAGAAGTAGAAATCATGTTTTTTATATTGTTCTTATCATCTCTCATTCTAACACTAACTATTATTGATTGAGACCATGAACTGACTGATGTTAGACCACCGTCGGAAACCTGGAAGCACTGGACGGTCGTCTCATTCTATTGCGGGACTCCTCAGCAGTGCGCATCCACTACCCGCTCGCGGGATTCGAACCCAGGGCCTTCAGTCTCGAGCGCGAACGCTTAACCTACTTGACCACTCAGCCGGCATCCGATGGTGTTAATGTCTAATATCAACCAATCCATCTTCCATTGTACTGAGGTAGACACCTGTCTCTACCTGACACGGATTAGCTCCACTGGTCACGGCTTCTCACTGGAACTCCAAGAATTCCCTCACGAAGCTAGTCACTTGTGAGCACATGTTAATTATCAGTATAGGGATTAGTTGATGGTAGACATTAACACCGTTGAATGCTAGCCGACTCAGTGGTCCATTAGGTTAAGCGTTCGCACTCGACACTGACGACCCTGGGTTCAAATCTCGCGAGCGGGATCGTGGAAGTGCACTGTCTAGGAGTTCCACGATAAGGGGAAATGACCATCCAGTGCTTCCAGGTTTCCAACGGTGGTCTAACACCAATCGATTCATGATCTTATTCAAAAACTTAATAATCTCCATAACCCCTATAGTGATAATTAACTATTATGTTTGAATGATATTTATAAACAAAAATAACTTATCTGTAGTATAATTAGCTTAGCAGATTAAGTATTAGTGAAATAAAACTATGCTTACTGTATCATATAATGCAAAAACACGATCCACATCAGCTGCTGTAATTTTACCAGCATGTTTAAATATTGGACGACATAAAAAGTTCTCTTCCACAGGTATTAAACTATTAAATATTGTAGAAAACTAAGTTATTACAAATGGGAATAAACTAAGAAATCAAACATTGTTTATGTAAATGAATATTACTTAATTAAACTTATCAATTACAGTGTACTATTAAAACTGATGAAATACAATGATAGCATCTATAAACAATTTAGAACATATTTATATAATAATGAGCAATAGGAAGTAGTGAACTAGTCAAATACTTTGGATTAATATTTGATCAACTATGAGTTTATTGTGATAAATTTTTCCCATTTCAAACTTGTTTTCATTCACTAATTATATCTGGGAACTGTATATTACTTACTTACTTACGCCTGTTACTCCTCGTGAAGGAGCATAGGCCGCTCACCAGCATTCTCCATCCAACCCTGTCCTGGCCAGTTCTTTCCAGCTCCTTCCAGTCATTATCCATCCTTTTCATATCTGCTTCTATTTCCCGACGTAATGTGTTCTTTGGCCTTCCTCTTTCCCGCTTCCCTTCAGGATTCCAAGTAAGGGCTTGCCTCGTGATGCAGTTTGATGATTTGCGTAATGTATATCCTATCCATTTCCATCGGCTTTTCATAATTTCTTCTTCAGCTGGAAGCTGGTTTGTTCTCTCCCACAAATGGCTGTTGCTGATGGTATCCGCCAAAGGATGTTGAGTATCGTGAGTAGACAACCATTTTTAAATACTTTTACCTTCTTGATGGTGGTTGTTGTTCTCCAAGTTTCAGCTCCGTACAGTAGAACTGCCTTGACGTTCGTATTGATTTTGATTTTGGTTGAAAGTTGTTTTTAGTTCCGTATGTTCTTCAATTATAGGAATGCTATCCTTGCTTTGTCAGTCCTCGCCTTTACGTCTGCATCTGAACCTCCTTATTCATCGATGATGCTTTTCAGGTATGTGAAGGATTCCACATCTTCCTGAGTTTCACCATCAAGAGTGATTGGATTGCTGTTCTCCGTTTTGAATTTGTTGACCTTGGTTTTCCCCTTGTGAATGTTGAGGCCTACTGATTCAGAGACTGCTGCTACACAGGCTGTCTTTATCTGCATCTGTTCGTGTGTTTGCGATAGGAGGGCTAGGTCATCTGCGAAGTCCAAATCGTCTAATTGATTCTGAGCTGTCCATTGTATTCCGTGTTTTCCTTCAGATGTCGAGGTCTTCATAATCCAGTCGACCACCAGAAGAAAGAGGAAGGGAGAGAGTAAACAGCCTTGTCTGACTCTGGTCCTTACTTGGAATGCATATGTCAGCTGTCCTCCATGCACAAATGACCATATTCTGTTACTATTATAGTATACCGAATTCAATAAGAAATATCACTAACAAAAAAGAATATTACTTGGTGAAACTGAACAATTGATTACTGCAATAGATACAACAAACAAAAACGCTTCCTTCATCTCTGTATTTATATATTCCATCAATACATACAAGTGATCAAATTGTATAACCAAGTGAAAATAATGAAGTGTTAAAAAGAGAATGAAATAGTAACTTGATCTGATATAAGCTATAGGCTATTGTTATTATTATCATTAATAAGGTTGATTTTCTCAAATTCACTTGATGCTGTTTATTTGTATCGTCTCATTGTTATTTATGACCGCAATTGATCAATCTCATGTTGGCATATGTGCATGCTATGCGAACTGTCTCGATATTGCCTTAACTCACAAGCCTTATAAGCAAAGATAGATAGTGGCTAGCAGTCAAAATTCAGGATGTGCATTTCGTTCTATTTGGGACTTGTCAGCTGGATGTACATGCATCCCAGAGTTCATGTTCACTCTGGGCCTCAAACCCTATACCGTTCGCTTCAAACGCCATCGCGTTATCAACTTAGCTAATGAGTCCTGATAGCCACCTGTTTGTGCAATGGGGCGAAGTTTTAAATTCACTTGATGTTTTTCATTTGTATCTTCCCATTGTTATTTAGGATTGCAATTGATCAATCTCTTATTGGCATGTGTACATCCTGTGCGAACTGCCTCGATATTGCCTTAATTCACAAATAGGACGAAACGCTCATTGTGGATTCCATAGTTAGCCACTATCCGTCTCTGTTGATTTCCTTAGTTATAAATGTGGTAATACTTATTACAGTTGTCATATCTCCCGTCACCATTGTTGTTATGAATCATATTGGTGGAGAAAATAGCAGACATTAGGGTATTGAAAATCAAACCGTTGTGATCATCATTATCATCAAACTTTCACACACACAAATCAAAAGGATAAGCAACTTAGAATTCATTTAAAAATTTAATAATTACTTAAACTGGTAATCTGAAAACAGCCACGAAAAATACAATAAACTATCATATAATGGTTACTCAGTCTGACACGATAATGACTACTACTACTGACAACAATAATACTACTCACAAAAAGCAGTGCATTCAAGCATCATTTTAGTTTATCAATATAATGAACCAATCACGAGTAGCCAAATGAGAAGGTCACTTGATGACAATCAGAAATGTCCTAAAGGACAAATCTATACTGTTGGATGAGACATGGATTGATTTTCTAAAGGTTAGAAACGTAAGTATGTAAAGAGTATCTATGCATGATATTCGGTAGTTCAACAGGCTTTATCATCTGTTCTCGTCCTCTCATTCAGTTTGGGGTTAGTACATATCACGTTGTGTTTCAGTAACAGATCTTGGATATCGGGCAGCACAACACAAATAAGTCTTCATCTACTGTCTTTATGCCCATACTTGTATCATCCTATTCATACTTTCCGATAGAAAGTACAAAGTTCTTTACATGTCATGCGAACAGTAGATATTTATTGTTGTTTCAATGTACATAACATGAATCTTTAATACTTCAAAATGTATAATAATGCACAAAGTATAAAATGAATTAAAATTCTATTATCAGAATGGGTTTTGTGGAGATTTTTAGAAATTTCAGAAGTTGAAATCATGAGTCAATTGAAGCTAGACCACCATGGAAAACCTGGAAGCACTGGACGGCCGTTTCGTCCTGGTATGGGACTCCTCAGCAGTGCGCATCCACAACCCCGCACCTCGCGGGATTCGAGCCCAGGACCTACTGGTTTGGCGCGCGAGCACTTGACCATTAGACCACTGACCCGGCCGGCATCCAACGTTGTTAATGTCTAACTTTTCTATGGTGGTCTAGCTTCAATTGACTCATGCTTTCAACTTGTGGAATTAAAATTTGTTTTTCATAAAAAGAGAAAAGAAAAACTTACCGAGACATTTCACTTAGTTGTAATTTACCATCTCGATTATGATCGAATAATTTCAACTGGAAATCAAAATATTCCAAGATGAATAAATTTTTATCACACACACACACACATACAGATACACACACAAACTCTATTCATAAATTCATCATTCCTCTTTTCCGGATCGATAAACATTTTTTGTTAGATGTTTCTTATAGCTTACATGCACAATTTGTTGTTTCTATTGTATCAATGTCACTTATTACTTATACTTGAAAGAACAAGGAATCAGTGCAATTCCTCCCCGCCCCCCACAACGCGCGAATGTGAGAAAATCAAGATTGGTAGAAGCGAAGATTTATTAAACTCAATGCACGACAAACAACCCTAGCACTACCATTTTTGATGATTAAGTAGAATAAAATCATATCGATGAGAAATACTCCGAGTTATGAGTAAATAACATGGTGCATGTCATGCTGAGCATAGACCATGTTCATTGAATACAAGAATATCGTACGTTGAACAAACATAACACTCAAACAATTCATCATCATCAGGCTTTACTCTATTATATATGAATATTTATATGAAAATATTAAACCGTTCAAATCAACTTATGAGTCAGTGATCACCATGAAATAGATTGCATAACTAACTGCATATAATTTAATGTACGGATTGATGGTAAAAAAAAGATGAGAAAAATTGAATTCACGAGTCGAACTAAGCTATACCACTATTGAAAACCTGGAGGTACTGGATGACCATATCGTCCTGTACGGTGATCATGCACAAGTCTGCATAAAACGGACTCTAACACAGGACTTTCGGTCTCACGCGCGAACGTCTTATTTCTAGACCATTGAGCCAGCATCCAACGATGATATCGTCTGACTTTAATCGATCCTTGATTTTGAACAAACGTCCGTCCGTTATCTCAGGTGAATAACTACCTCACATCCGACACGATTTGAAATTTATTGGTCATGGCTTCTTACTAGAACTCCAGGAAATCCATCTTGAAGCTAGTTATTAGTGAACACGTAATTATTACAAGTATGAAGATTTATGGAGATTATAGTATTTTCAGTTGAATCCACTAGTCCATCTAGCTAATAGTTCAACATAAGAAATAGGTCAAACATGGACAAATAGACTTTAAAATAATAATTGTAAAACATTATTAAAATTATGTAATTAAAAGTGTGTCAATGATTAAATAGTGAAGAATATAGATGAAAAGAAGTGAAAAAATGACAAATAAATATAGGATATGTACAAAAATCGTTTGTTAAATCATATCCGACCGAGATAGGAATAAGAATATAACGAAGTTCTTCGGGACACGTAATGGGAACCTCGGTAAAAGTTTATTTCAAACAAGATTAGATAGAAGAAAATAACGCAGATTTACTAGTTCAAATGTCCATTAAAAATATAAAAAAATCATTTCAAAATTCTATAGACTTATAATGTACAATCTATAAACAAATACTGATCATGGGTTGTTTATTCACGGTATGAAAATATTTCTAAAACTTTATACTACTTATATTACTTCTCTTAGCGAGTTATTTTTCTACGGGATGGGGTCATTAAACTTCCTCCTTTATTCGGGCTTGGGGCCGGCAGTAGCCCTCGAGGGGCTCCAGGCGGAAATATTACTTCTAATACTACTCAATTAACATTGAGAAACAAATAGTAAGTCATGTATAATGTAACACCATTTAGTAAATACCATAATTCATAATATGAAAGGATGATATTACGTAAAGAAAACAGAAAAAATCAGTCTTTTTATTTACTTACAATTGTATCAGTGTATTCAATAATCTTTTCATCAAATTTTTCATCATCTTTATGTATTCCAAATGATAGTAGTTCTGTCAGAAAATCCTTCAAATTAAATAATTAAGTAGAATAATTAAAACGAGTAAATAGTTTCGTTGTCAAAACAAAATTTAAAAAATCAGAGAGGGGTTTTATGGATATTATAGTAATTTAGTAGTTGAATTCATGAGTCAATGGAAACTAGACTATTATGGAAAATCTGTAAGCACTAGACGACCATTTCATCTTAATATGGGACTTCTCAGCAGTGTGTATCCCGCCTCGAGAGATTTGAAACAAGGACATGTCAGTCTTGCATACGAACGCTTAACCTCTGTACCACTGAAATTTGATAAAAACTTTCAAATCTCAGAGTAGATTAACAATTATTCTTTTAAAGATTGTATATGGTTACTACTTGAACCTACCCATTCAATTTAAGAATGTAGCTTTCAATTTTCAACAGAAATAAACAGTGATGGATTGCCCTGATTAAATAAAGGTAATCCAGTCAATATTAATCTAACAATTATATTCTATCTTTGAGCTTCACTGGATTATAAACTAATAGAGTTAGTTCGTAAACATATCTATACATTGTCCATAGATACAATCACTGTGGTATAAAGAAATTAGTATAAAAATTAGCTTCAGAAATATCTGACTAATTACCGCTCCAAGTAGAATATATCGATTTTTATATCCATCTTCTAAAAAAAATCTTCGGCACTGACCAACCAGAATTGTGTTATCCGATTTGATAAGTAAGTTATAGTTCTTTATAAATTAGTGGTTATTTGCTTGTAACCGTTGTATTCACGAGTCGATCTTAACTAGACCATTATTGAAAACCTGAAAGCACTGATAACTTCAATCGATCCATTATTTACTTTTGTTTAGTCTTTGCAATGTTCACGGTATATAGAGTTAAGTTGAGAAAAATTAAGCCAAAAAGCAGTTAGTCATGCTATAAATCATGTGTGAATGTCAATCTACTATTCGATATATATTAATAAACCAATGGTTACAAAACCATGAACTATTCTGTTTTATAGGGTTCTTCTAGTTGAATAATGTTTTCATAAATGTAGATCTCAATTTCGCAGAAAGTATTTGTTTTCTTAAGACTGTAGATATACTTTATTAATGATTGCCAATAACCAAATATTCTGGGATAAAACACTAATGATTACAATACAACTTATAGAATTTCATCAAACAAATAAATGATCGATTATTATTCGGTCTGTTAGAGAATGTTGGTCGGTGGCCTATGCTTCATTGGGAGTATCAGGCGTAAGTAAGTAAGTAGGTACTACTCACTTTTAATTCATCTGCTTCAATAAATCCACTATGATCTTTGTCGAATTCTCGCCATACCTAATTAATAAAAGTATAAAAATTAATAATAGTTAAGCTTTTCAAACACATTACATTAGTAAAGAAATAAGAGTGAATCAAATAAATAAGAGAGTTTAATGTTCTGGAATTGGTTTTATGTGCAATTATGGTGTAAAAGTAGGTTGGAGGAAAGCTAGTGGAGGCCAGACCAAAACAGGGCACAAATCCATGAAGTCACTGACAAGTGGACTGAGCCATGTTTGTAGGTGTATACTACCTGGTTGGGATCTGCGATATGATAGCAACCGATGGTTGGAGACCCTGAATGACATGGCTCAAAATCGTTTGCAATGGTGCAGGTGCATCCACTCTTTGTGTTCTCCCAAATTCTAATCTTCTGAATTCTTCATGTCACATATTTTTCCTCTTCCCAAATTTGTTTCACTGGATTATACTTCATGAATAACATCTTCAAACCCTAATCTTTACGATCACTACCTATGCTTTTACTACCTCTAACACTGCAGAATTTGAATCGACAACCGCATCTCTGTGCTAATGTGGTGTGGCAACTCGAACTGATGTACGTACGTACGAAGTTCTACGTTTTTACTGACTGACTGCAACTATAAACTCCAGGTCAACATAAAACAACTTAATGCGACCTTGTATTCGATAGTTATCTTATTGTTGTTCAATTTAAGATGTTTATTAGATCGAAATCATGTAAGTGTAACTAAACAGTATGATTCTGAAAGAAATCACTAACAATTCACTGTTGCCGTAATATGCGTCTATCAGTTTACGCATTATTATTATTAGATTTATTCAATATTATATATTATATATAGAATAATTTTCAGTACAAAGCATTTTAACAAGTTTCCTTTTCTTATCTCTTGATCAACCCTGACGACAAATATTGAGTGATTATCAGCTAAAGGTTAACAGTTCAGAAATCGACATTCTTTCAATGCATATTGTCAGTAACCACAATGTCTCTGATTGCGTTCTTTTGTAACTAGTACAGCGAAAATAGAGATAGACATGAGTAAAATAAACAAGAATTGGATGGAACTAGAAAAGAAAGCCCAGGACAGAAAGGGTTGGCGAATACTGGTCAGTGGCCTATGCTCCATTAGGAGTAACAGGCGTAAGTAAGTAAGTCAGTAATTAAGTAACAGCGAAATTTCGTAAGCATAGGTTATACGATTAATAAACATAATGATGTGTTAAAACAAATAAACGAAACAACTAACCTGTTTAAATATCTAGATGACAAGAATAGGTAACCCAAAACTGTTGTAATAATTCATAATCAGTAATATTTTTCATTTCAACTTACTAACATAACCATTTCAAGTTATTTACTACTAAACTATAGTGTTAGATACTACTGAATAAGACAAAGAAGTAGTCTTTACAAAGAACACCTACACACCTTATTCCATGAAAGTAGATGAATCAGCAAATGTACACTAAATTATATAAAACTTACATGTGAATATTACATCACATAGAAAAAAAGAAACAATAACATAATCATTTGTGATTACAATAAGTACCATATGACAACAAGTCAATATATTATTGTCATTAAAATTGCATCATTACACTCATATTGTTACTAACATTATTTAATAATTTAAATTATCTTGTAGTCATAGAAATCTTCTAATAAACATAAGATAATCATTTAAACACACTTACTTTATTTAAACAAGAAAAAGGAGAAAAAAAACGGAACTTATTGAATATTGGAATGTAACTAATATTAAAACTGTTTTGTAACGAATTGATTCTACTTTCCTGATGCCTATTACACTTCTTTATTATTATTATTTTTTTCAAGTGAAAAGGATGATTTCGTTTTTGTTTTGGGAGGAGGAGAGATGGGGGCAGGGACAGGGAGGGGTACTGATCTAAACAAGATAAACGGGACAATACGTTTTTTTTTCCTTAAATATTCATTTAATGATTAATTAAGTAGATATGGTTTTTGTTAAATGATACATTATGATAAATTAACTAATAAAACATAAATAAGCCCCTTTAAAGAAACAATAATAACCGTAGTAATGATAGAGAAGATTAGGGTTACATTTTATAATGAAATAATCTATAATTAGAATGTATAATGATTATTTAACATTAGTTTGTTGTACAAGTGATATTAATTATAACACTGAGACGCTTCCATTTATATATATCAACATATATATATATATATATATATATATATATATATATATATATATATATATACAAAATGTGAATGTGTAGAAAAGGGTTATATGGATAAAAGAGAGTTATCCATTTCTTTTTTTTATGTTTCCTAACTAGATAAATGATCATTTACTTACTTACTTACTTACCTACTTACTTACTTACTTACTTACTTACCTACTTACTTACTTACTTACTTACTTACTTGCTTACCTACTTACTTACTTACATACATACTTACTTACTTACTTACCTACTTACTTACTTACTTACTTACTTACTTACCTACTTACTTACATACATACTTACTTACTTACTTACCTACTTACTTACTTACTTACTTACTTACTTACTTGCTTGCTTACCTACTTACTTACTTACATACATACTTACTTACTTACTTACCTACTTACTTACTTACTTACTTACCTACTTACTTACTTACTTACTTACTTATTTACTTACTTAACTACTTACTTACTTAAATATGCCTGTTACTCCCAATGGAGCATAGGCGGCCGACCAGCGTTCTCCAAACCACTCTGTCCTGGGTCTTCCTTTCCAGTTCTATCCAATGTTTTTTTTTCATTTTTCTCATGTCTGTCTCCATTTCTCGGCCTAATGTGTTCACAGATCATTCTGAGTTAATAATCTTGTGCTCAATAGTAATTAGCTTCAAAATTCAATTCCTAAAGTTCTAGTGTGAAGTCATGACCAATGGAGTTTAGTAGTTATCTATTAAAGGTAATGGCAGATGACTTCGGAATATCATAAATTGATTAATGTTTGTCAATATAAAAGTTAGGTGTTTGCAATCGAGATCTGAAGTTTATGGGATTGATTTCTGGTTACAAGGGTTGTAAATACTCGTTGCTAATGAGTCCATACTAGGACGAAACAGATTATCAGTGATTAAAAGTTTTCAATGACAGTTTGGCTACGATAGATTCGTGGTGAAGACTATAGGAAGATCTAGATCTATTCATATTTCTTTGTGAAATGTGTACTTATATTGTATAAAATAAGACTATATTGAATATTAAGTTATTTAGCAAGAATCGTTTTTCTTTTTAAAAGTTTGCGTCTTCTGGTTGGTTTTCTATTAACGTCATAGTTTCTATGGACATTCAAGTCAAGAATAAACAAATTGTGCAACAAATATGTACATAACTTGATAATTTTGTTGTCTTTTCAGTATAGGATTGTAGAGATTATTGAATTCCATTGAAATCATGAACCGATCATTGTTAGACTACCATTGAAAACCTAAAAGAACAGGATGACCGTTTTATCTTAGTATAAAACTCATCAATAGCGCACATCTGCGATCATGTACCCAGAATCTTTAGTCTTGTTCAAACACCTAACCTATGATAACAAACCTAGAAATTGTATTTTTTTTAGTTAGTTGTGTGCATAAAAAATGAACTATGCAATATTACAACAATATAGATGATAAGAAAGGTTTTATCAGATATACGAAACAATCTTTCACACTTCATTTAATTTATTGTCAATCTCATCTCTTTAAATTGTTTTGTATTTGAAATTTTTCGTTACATTGATCTTTATTTTCAGAAGAGGTTTGTGGAGATTTTTAGAAATTTCACAGATTGAAATCAAGAATCAATTTAAGCTGGACCACCATGGAAAACCTGGAAGCACTAGACGGCTGCATCGTCCTAATATGGGACTCCTCAGGGGTGCGGATCCACATTCGAACGTAGGACCTATCGGTTTCGCGCCAGGTGCTTAACCAAATAGACCACTGAGCTGGCATCCAATGGTGTTAATGTCTAACTTCAACCAATCCACGAAGTTGCGCCAACGTACACCATTGTCTTCAGTGAGTTGATATCTCACAAAAGACCTTGTTGAAAACTACTGATAGTTCGTCTCATTTCAGATTTCTAGTTGATATATCGGATTGAAAAAAAACTACTTTTAAGCATATTAACAAATATATCACATATCCTATTACTAATAAACAAAAGAGTTATCAGGATTGGTTTTGTGGAAATTTTTAGCAGCTTCAACAATTGAAATCATGAATGAATTGAAGCTGGCTAGTTGGAGTTATACATTAACACCGTTGGATACCGGCTCAGTGATCTAGTGATTAAAGGCACTAGCGCGAGACTGATAAGTCCTGAGTTCGAATCTCGCGGGTTCGGGGTCGTGAGTATGCACTGCTGAGCAGTCCCATATTATGACGAAACGACCGTTCAGTGCTTCCAGGTTTCCCATTGTGATCTGGCTTCAATTGACTCGTGATTTCAATCTGCGAAATTATCTTCATTTGTCAGATTCAAATTATTGATTTTCCTTTTTTTTCTTTTTTCTTTTTTTTTTACCAAGAAATGTTATTTTCACATTTGTTCTGTAATTTCTTTATTATCTTTAGTTTATTAAAATTCTTTAGAATTTAACTATACATCTATAAAGGTCTATACTATCTTATATATAGTAGACAGATAGTTATGTCTATCAGGATACTTTTAATTAAACTTCACGGTTAAATGATACTTCATTTGACAAAAATATCATAGACAACACATAATGTGTTGTTAATGTCAGCTAGATAGTTAATTGTTCTTATCAGTGAAAATCATTCAACTTAAACGATAGAATTCATTCAGGACACTTGTAAGGTGTAATAATAATAATAATAATAATAATAATAATGATAATGTCTATAGTTGTCAACTAATCATATAATGAACAATGTTTATTTAGTCATTTGTGTTGTAGGTATTTGCCTTTTTTTTTAAACAAAACGAAAAAAAAACAGAATGATTTATTATCGTTTGATACAATCTTAGACTGAAATGACATTTTAGTTTTATCCATCAGATTAAACACACTAATAGTGAAATGAAGAACATTCTCTTCAATAAATTCTATTCCCCTTTAGTTATATGTCTAAATTAATAATACAAAAGTTGGCCAGATTTGTGGTATGTATTTGATTGAGATCATGAATTGATCGATATTAGATCAATATCGAAAACCTGGAAGAACTGGATGACCGTTTCATCCTAGTGTGGGATTCCTCAGCACTGTACATTTACGGTCTCACACTTAGAATTCGAATTCAGGACCTTTGGTCTCACGCGTGAACGCTTTGACTTATTATAATCATTATTATTGTTTCCACATCACTATCAATCTTCTGAATATATGAATATTTTAGTCAGTACTTATACCACTTTATTAGTTCTAACTGAATTCATGTCACTTTATATACAATATAGTCAAATTTGTGAATACATTTTTATTTCTCTCTTTCACCATATGTTACCTACATTTATTCTAATTATTAATCTCACAGTTTGATTTAACATACAAAACGTATACAAGTTAACATTGCTTGTTAGCTATTTCAAAATACACACAATTTTCATACATATATTGGCTATTTGTTCAGTTGGTGAGTTTCAATTAGAACTAAACGCGCGTCATGAATTCCACTGCTATCTCTTCTTATAAACAGGTTCTGGGTTCAAGCCACACGTGTAGGATTGTGAATACACACTGTCGAGGTGTCCCATACTATGACGAAGCTGCCATCTAATGTTTCCAGGCATTCAATGATGGTCCAACTTAGATTGACGGTATGATTTACAACCTCTTGATTCCAAACATTATTGTCAAATCGTTTTTTTTTCAAACTAATTTCATGGATCACCATTATACAAGTATTTCTCTTATCAATCTTCAGTGAAACTATTTACTATGTGTTATGTATGTGAGTAGTAGTTTTGGACTGTAGATTTTCAAAAACTGAATGAACGATAATGTATGTGTAACTATATTGATGATTTCTAGTTTTTGGTAGTTTGACAGATGTAATCAGTTTTTGACATGAAAACTAACTTGAATGTACACAAATAATACAGCTGATTAAATGTACTTGATAATTATACACATTTGAAAGTTGTATTCATCAGAGTTTGGTCACAGTAGATGTACCATTGTGAACTACGTAACACTATACTGATATTCTGACTTAGTATGGGATTTCTTAATATCGCACACACTGAGTTAGCTGCAAAACCTGAACACCATGGGTTCGGGTGGGGTAACCACTGAGGAGCTCAGTGCTAAGATAAAACGGTTGTTCTGAGCACCAATTCGTAAAGAATGAAGCTCAAACGTTAATCCAATCTCTACCACACATCATCGACTAATTTATGTAAATTATGTTACTGAATAGATTAGTTTATTATGAAAATGATTTTCGTCACAAAGTCCAGAGCCTTAAAGTCAAAGACTGTTTAATGTTAATTAGTTTTGAAATGAATATGAAAGGTAGGAAACTAGTGTTGAAAAATATACTTTTTATATATATGTTAAATAGTAACAACGTAAGTGGATATTAAACGGGAATAATTTCGCAATATTTCATCTTTTTCTTAGATTCTTTTCACTACATTCCAACATATGTGAATGAACAAAGGGGTTAACCTCATTGTTTTTCATGTGGCAAACTCGCTTATACAGTGAAAACTATATGTACACTAAAAACAATACATATGACTATGAACTCAAAAGAAAACACAAATCTCTGATTATACTGATACTTTTGACTCCGACAGTCTAATTAAAATGTACCCAGTAACATTACATATAAAAAAAACATCAACTCAACACGTCTGTATATGTAGCATAAATTCCGTACAAAATTTAGAAATTCTGAAAGTATACTGTCCACAACTTGGTTTTTCTCATTTCATTAATATCTAGTATGTGACATATTGAACAATGAATATGGTTAATTATCCGCTCACACTAAGGTGTGCCCATGAAGATAGTCAATATCATACGGAATTCCTTTGATAATGGATTAAACTGCAAAATCGTGCATGGGGGACAGCTCACAGACTCGTTCGAAGTAAAGACCGGGGTCAAGCAAGGTTGCTTAACCTCACCTTTTCTCCTGGTCATAATCCAGATGCTACAAGTGTTTACTAACAGTTGTCTACGCAAAATACTTCGGATCCATTGGCAAAATACTATCAGCAACACTAGTAGAGAACAAACCAGGTTCCAGCGGAGGAAGAAATCAGGAAGGAGGGATGTAAGTGGATAGGACACATTGAGGAAAGCACCCAACTGTGTCACAAGTCAAGCCCTCACTTGGAATCCTCAATGCCAAAGGAAAAAAGGAAAATCAAAGAACATATCACATCGAGAAATGGAGACAGACATGAGAAGAATGAACAACATTTGGATAGGATTAGAAAAAAAGATCCAGGACAAAGTGGATTGTAAAATGCTGATAGGTTGCCAATGCTTCCCTGGGAGTAACAGGCGTAAGTAAGTAAGTAATCCACTCATTGTTCAATTAGATGAATATGTATTTATATGTACAAGACGGAAGATTATTCTATCACTATCAGTAGAGTAAAAAAATTACATTTACATTTGAAAGGTCACTTTTTTCTTTACATAACATTATAATAAGTAACTTACTTTCATAAAATCAACACTGGAATTTAGCTTATTTTCTCGTTGGAATAAAATTAAAAATTCCTCATCAGTTGGAAGTAATTGAGCCAGCTAATACAAAAATGAGAATAAACAAATAAAAATAAACAAGGAAAAAAGTTGAATAAACAATGATAGAAGTAATAGGAAGTAAATGTGTAAACTACTCGGATAAGGTTAAGCTCTCTTCACAGGAACTGGATGTCCGTGGTTCGATCCATGGGGGGGGGCATGGATAAACTACTGAGGAGTGCCTTACTAAAACGAAACAGTTTCTTAGTGTTTCCTAGTCCTTAATGGTCAACTAACTTACATACATATATTTATTTGTTCATTTCATCATAATGTTTATTATCAGTACGTTTACAATTTTTACCGTTTTTTTACTGCCAATATTTACACTTAGTTGATCACTTATTAAGAAACAGTGTATTGTTTATCCGATCCTTTTAGTCCTAATCGAATCTTATGGACCAGGTTGTAATGTGGTCAAATAAGTGACTTAACATTGAGTGTACTACGCTGAAATGTTAGACAGTTGAAAGTAGTCGATAGTAATCGATCAGTACTAAAGTAATTAGATATACATGACCACCACTAGCTTAACCATCTGATACATTTCATGATTGGTAATTTCATGCACTTTCATTTATTATTAATGACATACAAATCACCATGATTAAGTTAACGTTTCTCTTAAAAATATATATATCCTTTAAAAGAAGAGTAAAGATCCAATGCGAGACAATACTGGTAGTAACTTATCATTGAGGTATCTATTAAAAGCATTTCATGAAATTGATGTAAGGGGGTTTGTTGAGATTACACAATTTTCACAGTTTAAGTCAAGAACTTATATTAGCTCGGATACAGCTAAAAACTTGGGGCACTGGACAGGAATTTCGTCCTAATATGTGATTACTCAGCAGCACACACTTGCGCTTAACCGATGATTGATTCCAGGACTTATGGCCTTGCGATTAGCACTTGATGTTGAGACCATTACATCATAAACCCATATTTTACATTTCTAACTTTAACCAGTTGGCGACATTGCCCAATCATCTATTGCACTTGATGCATAAATATCTCACACTGGTCATTGTTGAACTCCTCTGGTCATAGCCTCTTAATAGAACTTAAGGAATTATATTTCAAATTTAGCCACAATTAAACACATGATTAGTAACTGTAGTGGGGATTTGTGGAGATGGTTGAATTTTCATAGCTTCCGACACTTATTTATCTTAGTTAGACAAGCCTATGTATGGTTAATAACTTGGGTGAATAATAGCGTTTCTTCATTGAAATACCACTACTCCGTTCAGCTCCCGAGTGAATTTCTTCCATTGTTCTAAAATGTTCTTAGTCTACAGAAATAAAATTTGAAGTTGGTGTGCGTTGAATATGCACTGATGTCAGTTTAGGAACCACTAAAAATTCCACTGCTAAGATGATGATCATTCAGCATTATGAATTGCTTAACGTTTAGACCATTACGAGTCATATGATTTCAAATTTGTCATTCAAAGATACCATGGTCATCGTAAACATTAAAGTTCTTATGTTTGATTCTATAAGGAATGTTATGTATTCGATATTTAAAAATTCGTAAATTAAGACGATACAGTATTTTAGTGTTCCTTCGTTTTCCGTTAATATTTATTAGTAATATAAATCCGACATCAAATCACAGAGAATGTGTTCACAGCTGAGGAGTCCCCTACTAAGACAAAACCGCTATCCAGTGCTTCCTGGATTCTAATGGTAACCCAACTGATATCAATATGCGATGAATAGATTCGAAAAATATGAACATAATATAGAAGGACAAGATTGACTAAATAATCATTGAGACTAGTTGGATTTAGTCTTCCATAAAACTATTGTAAAATGCGTAAATAAACAAGAGAAGTGTGTATTTATTGTGAGAAGTTACAAAGTATTTGCACAATTCTTCTACATAACCCTCTGCATTATGAACTGTTTTCGCGGCTAGCTTCAACACGAAGTTCCTGGAGTTCTAGTGAGATTTCGTGACCAAAAGAGTCTGATCCATGTTGAGTTCAAGAAAGTTATCCAAATCAGACAATGGATGAAGGATTGCGCAATATCGTGAATTGGTTGAACTTAGACATTAATACCTTTGGATACAGGTTCAGTAGTCTGGAGGTTAAACGTTCATTTACGAGAACGAATGTCCTGGGTTCGAGTCCCGCATGCGGGACCGTGGATGCGCACTGATGGGGAGTCCTATACTAGGGTGAAACTGCCGTCTAGTGCTTCCAGGTTTTCGATGATTATCTAGCTTAAATCGATTCTTGAATTCGACCTTATATTATTTACCGAACAAGTTATAAATAACTATGAATCAGTAATTTGCATGGTTTTGAACTTAACGTGACGTCTGATATTTGGACGCTTGAAACCGTTTTTCTAATTACTTTACTGTCTCCTAGAAATCTCCTGCTCTTGAACTATGAATGAAAGATAACGGTACGTGAGGTGAAAGAAAGTTTAACGTTCAAGGTTAATTAAGATACAGAAAACAAGGGTATTTTAAGATTTATCGATGACCTCGTTATTTCGGGTGCTCTCATAAATATGTTAAAATCACTTGTAGAATCAGTGACTACCCAGTGGAAATATGACATAATAGACAGCTTTTCTGGAAATGTCTGAGATCTATTTGAAGGACTATTTTTAGACGTTCACCGACTTCAAAAGACTTTCGCAAGGAATTCTTGTAGATTCTTAACACTAAAAAAATCGCTGTATTACTCGACAGTATAGAAAAATAGATAAAGATAGCAAAAGGAACGAAATAACACTCAATACCAACACAACATAACTACCTAAATATAAACGATAATCATGCATTAACTAGTGGTTAAATTCTATTTGTGGATCCCAATTATCGAACTGATAGAAAAATGGTTAGTGGAGTTAAAACTGATCAATCACTGAACACTGATTAGTTCCATGTATTACAAGTCATTCTTTATGTTGATCAGTAATATCATTCTCCCAATTTAAGAATTGAATGTTCTATATTTAAATACTCAAATAATCATATATTAGTACTTTTTGAAGAATCATATACCTAAAATGTTTAATGCCCCCCTCCCTGTTTTTTTTAACACTTAGTAAACAATAGTGATTTTTAATTTCAATGGTTAAGATCATGAGTCAATTGAAGCTAGATCACCATGAAAAACCTGGAAGCACTGGACGGCCGCTTCGTCCTAGTATGTGACTCCTCACCAGTGTGCATCCACGACCTCGCCCCCTGCGAGATTCAAACCTAGGACCAACTGGTTTTGCGCTCGAGCATTTAACAACTAGAACATTGAGCCAGCATCCAACGATGTTAATGTCTAGCTTCAACTAATCCACGAAATTGAGCGACACATCCACTATTGTTTTCAGTGAGTTACCATCTCACAACAAACCTGGTTGAACTCCACTGGTCACTACTTCTCACTAGAACTGTAGGATATACCTTTTGAAGCCAGTCACTAATGAGCATATGTGGTCTAGCTTCAAATGATTCATAATCTTAACTATTGAAATTACTATCATATCCATAAAACCCATCTGATATTAATAATGATTTATATTGAAAACTAATTCAAACTTTTAATTGATTATGAAACATTTTAACTAACTGATCATTGATAATCATTATGCCAAAGAAAAAAATATAGAGGAAAAAAAGTATATACCAAACATAATTTGATGCATATCATTCTAATTAAATCAATTCTAATGGTATAGTTTAATGTTTTACATGGAAACAAGAAGGGGAAAAAAAGGAAAGATACATTTCACATTTTATTTTGTATACTCTCATTAAATATGATGTTAATATAAAATGATACCAGGAAATGGGAATTAATCAAACGGATTTCTGTCGCCAGAAAAGTAATCTCTAACAATAATAATAATAGTAATAATGGATATATATATAATGGTATAAGATACATTACAGGGATGCTAAATACAATCAGATTAAAGTCAAAATAGTTAAAAGCAATTAACTAATATTTAATATTACCTTTTTAAAATGAATGAGATTTAATTTTTAGAGAGACAGTTTATTATTCTCTATGAGATAATAATAATAATCAGTATTCAATTATTCTGTTAACTGATCTTAGTTAGAAGAAGAAAAACAAACAAACAAACAATGAAAACTAGAAAGTACTGGATAATATAGGACTCATTCATAAGTACTATTGATCGAATACAAATCTTTAAGTTATCAAAGTTTACTGAAACTTTAAACTATTGAAATGGTATTCAATGATGTATACAATATGTAACTTCAATCGATTCGTGATATTGGTTAACCATTTCTTGATGGTATTGATGAATTGTGATGTGTGCTACTGATGTCGATAGATATAAGTAGTACGTGTCATCAATGGAAAGTGAAATATCTAATGGGAGAAGGTTAAGAAGATCAAAGAAAAGAGAACGAGAACGAAGAATGATTGGTGTAGAACAATGAAGTCTGAGACGATTGAATGATATTTTGCAAATGAAGTATTTAATGTATGATTCTCTGATTATATTAAGATGTTCTGTAATTTTATGTCCAACTGCATCCAATTGTCCTCACTTATTCACTACAGGATAACTATCTAACATCCAATATGTCACCACACCTTCTCATAAGAACTACCATGATTATCTCCAAAAACTATTCATTAGTTAACACATATAAATCAATTAGTAAAGGGGATTTGTTGATATCCTTGAGTTGTTTAGCTATGTTAAATAGCATTAGTATTGATCAAATTCGTAGCCTATTCTCATAAACATCTAAGCAATTACTGTGTTCATTAATGACTGTATTTACCAAATATTCCTAAACCTCCGGTGAGAATTCATGGGCGGTCGTGTCTTAACACATCGGTCGTGAGACAGATATTTCAGGTTGGTAATAAATGATATCTGTACAATTTCACAACTCTCGATTAGTCCCTGTGTTATGTCCCGATAAGCATAATGAATGGTAACTTTTGTTATCCATTTATGGACCAATACAATGCGTATATTTTTATCGT